CGTCGCACGTCCAAACACATCTTCGGGTGAACATAGCCCTGGTGGGAATTGTGCTTTGGGAGGCTCTGTCAGTGGTGATGATAGTCTCGCTTTATAAATTTCATCCTGTTCACTTGGAAATGAAATAAAACTCCAAACTGTCAGACTCCTCCACTCTGACTAATTTCTGAAGAACAGAAGGAAAAGGAGCACCAAAAAAAACCCCGACCCAACCCCTTCACATGAGTGGAAAGATGTGACGGTTAAAAGTCCTCCAAATGTAATGGAGAAGTGGAGGACAGCTGGAAAAGGCTTAAACACCACTTTCCTGTATATCTGTAATAATGAGTGTCTGGCAAAGGAAGACAGCTGTTTTAGTTCTGACAAGACCTGTTTAAGAAGCACTTCATATTTTTAGTAATGTTCAAGTAACGCAAGAAGAAGCCAACTATGAAACCGTGTTACTGAATTTACTGCAGTCCAAACAGAAGGGAAACATACCAGTAATATTCTTTCAGGCAAAGCACAGAAATGAAGATAAAGCATCTGAAGGCTATGGTATTTGAGGGGACTCAGCCCAAGCAAAGAGATCAGTTTCAAAACTAAGGTAAAATCTCTTGACAAAGCACTTAGAGGAGAAGAGCCTGCCTTGTGCCAAAGGTTATGAAGTGCAGAGAGCTGTCACATTGCATTAGCTCTGAAATGCCACGTTAAATGACACATGAAGACAGGAAAGCTTGTGGAGTGTGACAGAAGGGTCCTCAGAAAGTAGCATGTGGAGCTGTGTACTTTTTGGCATAGAAGACAAGATAATGATTTGGATATGGAAATAGATTGAAGAACTGTGAATTGCGACAGCACTTGCAACATTTCTCTGTTGGGTTTAAAGACCTTCAAAATATTAACTGTAAGAACAATTTTTAGAGGGTTGAGGTATCTGGCAAAAGAGCCCGCAGAGTTTGTTCAGGCATGAAAAAGACACTGGATTATGAATTAACTTAAAGAGTCAGATGGAAACAAGACATTGGGTCCAGTCAGCAAGCAAAAGTGTTGGGAAACAGCAAGGGAAAAACGTAGTGTTCTTGACGGATACTGTCAGAGTCAGAACTGATTCAGAGCAGCAGAACATAAGATTAAATGTAAATAGAGGGTGGAACAAAGCTAATTATTAGGTGAAATCATCAAAAAGAAAACACTAAAGGGAAATTGATCTTTCCCATCTCTATGGGAAATCCCATGAGATGAATCAAACACTGAAGTGGTAGCCTGGAGAGTGCAATGAGAATCAGGAAGGCAGAGGATTGTTTTGTAGATTTTAACATTGGGGAATAATTTAATGATCTATATTCAAAATCCACATTACAGAGTCTCATACAGAAATGACTGGAACAAAAGAGGCAACCTATAGCTACAATGAAGCATGTGATTTAGAAGGGTATGAAGCCTTCATGCTGTGGCTAAAATATAACATTTCTTCCTTGTTTTCCATGGGGATTGTTTCTGCTATGTGAAAAAAAAGGATTGCTCCTTTTTTCCTAACCTTAAAATTATAACACGCTGTTTAACAGGAGGCACTGTAAGGGGATGGGCATGTGCTTGCTGATTTGGTGGCTCATGCCTTACACATCTGGCTGCATGGTGTGCATCCATTCAGTCATATGATGAAAATACTTTGTAGTAGAATAGGAGTTTCTCAGTGAAGATACCTGCAGACATCTACTTGTATTTGAAAATTAATGCACTGCTAGCCTGTATTAAAATTAGGATAGAGAAACTTAATATCATAGCTTATTTGAATGCACTAGTGCAGCTCAATAACAGAAACCAACCATTAAGGACCTTGAATCCCAAGATAAACAGCAATTACTCTTCCTTATTCAAAATTAGCAGGTATTTAAATTTCAGTTATTTATATTTACCTTGAAGTGGGTTCTAAAAGGCTCTCATAACATGCTATCATCCATTGGACTATCTTTTTGGAGTGTGCCTATCAAGATTTCATGGTGAAATTGCTTTGTTGTCATCTCCCCCGCATACCTTACTCAAAATATGTGTAAAATGACATTTTTATTTCACATGGTAAAACCTTTGCTTCCTAAGTGTTTGAGAAGTTTTACATTTATACATTTGCAATCCTCAAACTAGTATGAAAAGTTTTCTAGAATCTGTTTTAATAGGGAACCCAAATTAAATT